GCACCAGCAAATGCACGACTAAATTCTTCACGTTTTCCCTTAAAAAAAGAAATAAATTTAGATTTGATCTTATTAACAATAAAATACAAACTGATTGTGTTAAAGCCACCAATGTGTTAGTTACAGATGTACCTTTTACACAAAAATAAATTTAGAAATTTATCTCTGATTAGCATTTATTAATAGAATACCTATGTTTGATCCTAAAAAAAACCAATAGACATAAGCAAAAATTTAATTTCGATTTATTTAAATATGATATTACCCATAACGATTGGTATGGCTTGTTTAACGGGTAAAACTAAGATTTTTTTTCGAAATAAGAATATTATTTGTCAATGAATGAAACTTACTAGAAGATGAAACCATTGATACAACAATTGATGTTGATGTTGATGAACTTTGAACAAGAACTGTTGTTAATAAACCAATCATTAATCCAGCAATAGGATTCGAAAGAATTGCTCCTTCAGCAAAAACTTTACCCGTTAGTTTACCTAATGAAAAATATTTATTTTATAAAGGACTTTTTGTTTATTTTTTTGAAAATATTGTTTAACCTCCAATAAGTCGAAAACCTGAACTCATTAAATCAAGTGAACAAACAAATAAATATAATAAAGCCAATAAACCAATTAACCTTAATATTAACATAAGGATGAATTTAATTCGATCTTTTCGATTCATATCTAAATGAGCAAAATAGATTAAGAAAAACAATAAATTGTTTTCAGTACCTCTCCATTTATGATTCTCATTAGGGCTTTCAGCTTGAAAAAGATTGTTACCATTGAAAACTTTATTAGATTTATCTGTCATTTTTATTTTAATGTTAGTATAAAATGAATTTCCGTTTCTTTATATAGTTTTCTTAAGGCTTGAGAAGTCATGATGAATTTTACTGACTAATTTGAATATCATCAATTTATCACGCGTATGACGCATATCCTTCTTCTTCTTTCTTAAACACACATTTTTTGTGTAATTGATAAGAATTCTTTAAACATATGACGAAATTACTTTTGACATCAAGCATATCTACTTGTCTTTATTAAAATAGTTAACAACAATTCTCGAACAGGTACCCATTTTTTATCATATTCAAGCATAAAATGTAGATTTGGATTTGAGTACAAGTCTTAAGTTTATTTGATAAGCATACTGAACCACACATTTGGAAAGGACAGTTTATATTTGTTAAGGAAGGTCATAAATGATTTTTGTTTTTAGTAATTCTCTTCCTAAAAATATTGTTATTATTATTTGTGACGTTTAGGCAAGTCGATGCT